TGTATTATATTAATTATATACATTTAATTATATATTGTTATATGCACATATAAATATGAAATATTAATATAATATACATTTACTTATATTGTAAGTTATTAATATAGATATTACATATTAATACATTTTATTTAACATATATATTTTAATAATATAGTTATATATTACAGTATATTATTTTAACATGCATTTAATTATATATTGTTATATGCTTATATAAATATTAAATATTAATCTACATTTTAATGGCAATATTATTGTATTATAATATATTATTTTAATAATATAAATATTATTACAGTCATTTTCACAGAATAAATCACTTAGAAATGAAACTTCTCTTATTATTTACGGTCATGTTATTAAAAACGTGTTGTTATTTGTTTAGTTTTTTCCCTCTGAAGCGCAAAAGAAAGAGTGTTTTTTCCAGTAGGTTGAGAAGCATCAGTAGCAGTGTTTAGATGAGCGTTCACAGTTCTTCATGCTGTTCATCGTTGTCTTCCTCAGGCTGAATGTAACGGAACGGCAAACGGACCGAAGACAGTGACTGATAAAAAAGCCGACTGACAGATCTCACGCCTCGACAATCATCACGGATGATATTTCAAAATGTCGATATTTTAAAAAGTAAACTAATATATGGACACACACCGATCCTGTCACATTGAAATACTTTAATAATGTTTAATAAAAATGAAGGTAGTAATCTGTAGATTTTGTTTTTTTATCATTCCATGATCATTTACTGATTTCCACTCGGAACAACTACAGATTTTCTGTGTATGACTTATGATGCTTAATTTAAAATAAACATTGAATTATTTTATTTGTGGCTCGTGGTTTACCTTAATGATGCTTTCAGTGGTGGATCTTTATAATAACTAAAATAACTAAATAAATAAAATAAGGTGGTTATGATTTACATGTATTAAGAAAGTTCCATAGCACACAATAGTACTGTACCTAGTAAAACACACGCATACATACACACACACACACACGCACACACACACACA